GTAGTCGTAGTAGTAGTAGTAGCAGCCGTCGTATCAGTAGCAATAGAAGTAATCGTCGTCGTCGTCATCGTCGTCTCGTAGTAGCAGTAGTTGCTAGTGCATGACAGAGCACTACTAGGTGTTGCTGCCTGCTGGTGACAACAGCGAGATAGCAACAATACGCGACAGCGCATGCAACATACTTGGTGGACGCTGAGGCAGAAGCAGGCCCTCGCAGGTAGTTGCGAACCAGCTTCAAGGTCACGCTATCACCTGCCAAGATGCAGACTTGAATTGTGACCAGCAAAAACCATAACGAAGAGCATCACGATCAACTAGGTCCTCGGAGCCAGGATGGCACTGCTTGCAACTCTGACAGCTGCAATGTATGATGAGCATGATGACACGCATGATGTGATGCAGATGATGCTGCCGATGAAGATGGATAACGGTCATGGCATTACTGTTTTGTGATTCGTGATGTTCGAGCTTCACAACCCTTCCAGGGGGCAGAACCGCCTTCGGACTCTTTGACTAGCTTGCTGACGGTCTTCAAATCGCCGCCTGCGGGTAGGTGAGAGAGATCCCCACAACATGCAGGAGTATGCTGAACATGCAGCATCAAAGCATTACCGTGGAAACACGATGGTTCGTGCCAGTTGCTCTGACTGTTGAGCTGCATCAACCTGCAGTGCATGCACTGTTATGTTCAATCACTTTCGATCAGGTTCTTCGGCTGCGGTTGTCCGTTGTGCATGTTGGTCGGCCGGTCACCATTACGAGGTTGAGCTTGGGGCCTTCGTGAATCACTACTCATAGGAACACCAGCATGCAAAGGCCATGTTCTCGAAGCCTCATACCCAAAGCTGAAACTTGGAGGCCTTCGCAGAATGTGCCGTTCACAGCTACAACCTCATCTCCCTCGAGGACGAACATGCCTTCGGCCTCAGAGCAGATCGGGGACACAGTTTTAAGGTGCTGGCAAAGGGACATAGGTCATATGTAAGGGTTCGTAAGCAGCCCGAAGGATGCTTCTCAGAATACGCCGGGTAGTGGCAAAGTGAGTTGCATCCTAGTCGTCATCGTTGATCATCGCACTCGGTCTAACGGCATTCTTGTGGCATCCGAACCAGGCAGGCTGGCGCCGTTGCAGCCGAGCCGCATCGTTGAGCAGGACCTCCTTGTTCCAGAGGTCCTAGGGTTCACACAACTTCGACAACACTCAGTCCAGCACCGTCAGTTTACCCCACGAGGCTCTCCAGCGTGCCCAAGTGTGCCCACAACATGTGAACTTTACAGAGAACACTGATGAAGGATGCCCAACAACCAGCCAAGCCATTGTCAAGCAAGGCTCCGTGTTGCCGCCTCGGGGGTGCTTCACTCTCTCTGAAACAACTGAACCGTATGCACTGCTCGTGAGTTGGGGAGGTTCTGGCTTGGGCCTGCTGGAAAAAGCCTTCGCTGCCATAGCACTCCGATATACTCTGATGATACCCCCAGCAGGCCTTCCTTGATGCCAGCGATGCCTACGCCTGGCCGGTTTGGAAACTCCTTGGGCGTGATGCCCAAAGGCTTGGGTATGGTGACATCGAAGATGGCCCTGCCGCCTTCAATGCGCTTCCTGAGACACATCTCACATCTCCACAGCGATTCCCCATTGCTGGCTAGGGGCTCGGGGGTCATGGTTGCTGTCTGGTAGCACCCTGGAGTTCCACTGCGCCACTGTGGCGCGACGTGCCACCATTGAAGACCGGGAATGGGCTCCCTGTCTCCGCGCCACGGCGGCAGCGAGGGCTCCCAAAGAGGCGATTGAAAGCGCCAGTGGTGCTGCAGGCACAGCTTGCTCCGCCCTCGCAGGGCGAGCCAGGGTGCCTCAGAAAGTGCAGCGCAGTGCTGTCGGAACCTATGGAACCTATGTCTGCGGGTCCCTGGACTGCACTTGTCGCCAATGCAGGGCTCGGCGCTGCTGCTTCGGCCTCTAGACTGGGCATTGAGCTGTGCCTTGCTTGAAAGCCAGGGCGATGGTGCCAAGAAGGTCTGGGCCCATGTGCAGGCTGCCAAAACAGCTGCAAGAAAAGCCTCGGCTGCAACATCCACACTTTCAGGCCAGCGGATCGTGGCTGGACCAAGCCAAAAACTTCATGTTAGACGGGGAGCAGCCAAAACCACTGGCGCGTGTGCCGACATTGAATCAAAGGCCGAATCTACGGCATGGCTTGAGCACACAGTGACTCCTGCAGTTCCCGGCCGTGAGAACTTTACCTGAACCCTCTGTACCCCAATCTCGGGGCCGTTCGGTTCCGCTGGGTTTGTTGCGATCCCCGCTGCCCCACGAAGACAAAACAGCTTTCCAAGGACAATAATTACCACAAGGCGGAACTCCGAGGGGTCGGCTCCGTTTTGCACTCTAGTACGGTGCATATCTCGCGGCCTCAGCCCACTGCAAGGTCACCCAACACCTCTCATGCCCCACCCGAGTTCGTGACAGGAAATCTAAGTCTGGGACGAAACCCTTCGAGTTGCCTGGATAGCACCAGGGCGCTGAAAACCATTCCAGCAAAACCCATGATAGCAACAGGCGTACTTGTGACACTCACTATCACCACAAACAACTATGCGAATGCTTGAATTCATGATCAGCTTTGGCCAGCGTAGCAGCAAGAATCGTAAGGGTTTAGAATTCTGAGCAATCCGCAGCGTGACAGCGATATAACCAAACTTGACACCGCATCACTCAAAAAGAGATGGCCACCTCCTTTGCCCATGTTCCAGCCGTTGGCACCCTTTTCTCCTCTCCAGGTAACTGTCTTCGTCTCAGAGTGAGGGATCGGGATGCTCTTTCCTCACAAGGCCTCTTGGGCTTGGGGGTTTTTGAATGGTTCCAGGACCTCTGGAGTCGACAGACAAATTCTGCCTTGCCTGGGACGTCTTTGCGAGCAATTGCCTCGGGCCACGGATCCACATCCTTCTTGCTAAAGATTTCTCAAGGCACCAGATCGTCGAGTCAGATAGCTGGAACCTTCAGGGAATCCCTGAAGCGACCTTGCACACCTAATGCCCGATTCTGAGCTCTGGGCCGTCCCCTCTGGGCAAACGTCTTCAGCTCTGGGTCGGCCGGTCTTGCCTGGGGGGAGAGGTGATTGTCTGCTGTCAGGCTGTCCTTGCTGAAGCTCTGTACAACTGGCAAGGGGTAGCCGATAAAGCAGGGGCAGCCACCGGCGCAACCTGCTTCTCATGCCTTGCGATCGTCTGAGCGTAGCGCTGTCCAGGACCACGCGGTAGCTGACTCGTGTGCCTTCTGGCGGTATGACCTCATATTTCACGTGCATCTCCGTGTCGGATCTTCAAGCATGCTCACGCATGCCGGGCTCCAGGCAGACCCGAATGATGCACAAGAGATGGGCATCACGAACATTTTCTGCCGGGTTTGAAGCTTCCACTGTGTACTTGGACAAGAAGCAGGCAAGATTCAAGGGCAAGGAAGGTAGAGACCTACCACAGAAAAACACACGGGCTTAGAAGCTTGCCCCTATTCGCTAGCTCAGCTACTAGGTTGCACCTGGCCGTCATCTTGCAGAATGAAGCCGTACCTTTTCTTCTGCGCCATCAGTGGCTTTTCGGAGCAGTCGACCCCTCTTAGCGGTAGAAGGCAAACCAAAAGCACCGAATCCAAGGCGAGGACTTCTCTCCACGCTGCTGGATCGTTCCAGCGTAGTCTAGGCCCAGACCCGCGTTTGGAGCGGGGGTCGCCATCCCCGTGCCCTGACACCGAAGCATCTTTTTGTCTCTCCTTTTCTACATCTACAATCTACGCATCAGTGCTTGTTGGCGATGCATCACGGAGGCTAGATGTCAGCTTTCCGGAAACCTCGGGACGGACGCTTTCTGCTCTCGGTCTGCCCGTCTTGTTGTCCATCACCAACTCAGTCGCGAGTATGTGCGCTATTCCAGAGTTGCAGATCGCTGGGACACGGCTCAGCGTACGCTGGGAGCTTGGCTGTGTAAGCGACTCTAGTTCCAACTGGCCTCACACAGGTGTCTGTGAGGCATGTCTCGGTAGCTGCCGCTCACAGGCTCTCAGCACTGCTAAACTGCTCTGAGGTCGAAGGCGGTATGGCAACTTCGCCCGTGCAGGCAGTGCAGGATCCTGGCATGACCTCGTCAGGTAAGGAGGCCGATGCTAGCGCAGCAACGGCACCCGCACCGCCATAATGATCAAAATAACCTCAGGTACTGGCAAAATGCTTCTCGCCAGAATCAGACGTGATGAAGCCGTAGGTTGGGCCACCCTGCACAACCAACACCCTCAGAACACACTGCCAGTTGCAACAGGCCGCTCAATGCTAACAACTGTCATTACAACCTGTTCTGCTCTAGACCCTAGCGTCTACGATTCTTCTCAGATAGTTTCGCATACTAACAGTAAGGAGCTTAGGCAAACAAAGGGCCCCTGGTTCAGGCGGCATGTGGATGACATGCGGGTGTTATACAGCAGGGCTCTGGGGTGCAGGTGGCCTGCTCCAGCTGTCTGGGGCCTTCGCCGCTACTGCTTGAACTGTGCATGTATGCATG